TAATAATAATAATAACTTAGGGGTCAAGGAGATGGCTCAGTAGAATAATTGCCTGGCAAGCACAAGGGCCTGAGTTCAATCCCCGGTTCCACCAAAAGGAAGGGGAAAAAAAAAAAGCTCAGTGTCACATATAGCCATGCAAAGACACAGTTTCCCAAATGCTCACAGAGCCATAGAATGTCATAGAGACAGAGGCATACTATCATGGGCACATTCACAAAGAGAGGACAGTTCACTCAGTCACAGATAAACAGAGGATTATAACCCATGTTACCCCCCTCAGTCTGGGGGAAAAAATTAACAGCAAGCTCCAGTTTGGGATGACTTCCCTACACCACTACCCACCTGTCTCAGTTTTTCCTACAGCAAGATTTCCTACATGTTAGGCTTAATCATTGCCCACATCCCACTTCTTGGGCTAAAGACTTTTTGGGCAGCAATACCAAGTCCCTGGGAACTACCCTCTCGCCTTTCCAGTCTTGCAATTAATTTCATCTCCAGTTCTTCAACAAGTGCTAAAGGAATGGGAGATTCTTGGAGCATTGTTACCATCCTGGTGACTGGAAAGGAGAAATGCAGAGCAGGTCACATACCTGATGGTTTCCTCACGGTCTCAAGAGGTCACTCAGAGACTGGTGTGGGGGAAATGAACTCACGGAATGAGTTCTGCCCTATAACTGAAGATTACAGTTCATAGGATCAACACCAAAGGCCTTTCATAGTTATGGAGTTACCAGATCTAAGAAGCCCTGTGTGCAACTGACACATCCCCACCCGCCAGGTCACAGCAGGGACCAGTGCTCACAGTCACGTGCAGGGCCGCCAGGGCCTCATCGATGGCAGCCAGGTAGTCGGGCAACAGGTCCAGAAGACAAGTGGCCAAAAACACACCTCCAGCGAAGCAGCTTACTAGGCTCAGAAATTTCTGACGGGTAGCTGGGCAAGAATGCAACAGGGAGCAAATGAACTTCCACTACCCCCTCGCACTACCCCGGCCCTCCCCTCCTCCTCAGGTCACCTCCCCCAGGGGCAGAGACCTCCCTATCTGCCCCAGTCCAGAGGCAGAGAAGAGTGGAGCTCACCTGAGCCTTCAGGGTCATGGCTAGCTCCAGGCCGCCGCAGCACACAAATGGGCACCAGGCTGCAGAGAAGGGTGAGGACCAGCAGCAGCACCAGAGCCCCCAGCTTCACCTCCAGCCCCACGGGCACTGGAGGCTCTGCAGCCACCGCTTCTGGGCGCCACACCAGGAGCTCAGGTTCACCCCAGGGCCCCATGGTGGCTGTGATAGCTCCAGTGATTCTCAGACCTAGGAAGGAGAGAGGTTGTCACGCAGGAAGACAGGGCCACAGAAGAGGAAGGCCGGTCAGCAGGGAGCAGTTCCCCACCCCAGCTGCTCTTTGGCTTCCCCACGTGACTCATCCACTCCCATACCAGGAACGTTTCTATTTTTCTTCAGACTTTATTTTTCCCAAACGACCTGTTCAGGGAGCCAAGAAGGTGGAAACTGAGCGGGGAGGCTAGTGTGCGTGTCTCGTCATCCTTCCACTCCCGAGCCCCCAGGGAGCTGGGGCAGCCTACAAACAGCACCTGGAGCTGCATTCCCCAAGGCACGCAGGAGCCAAGCCCCTTCTTTCGCGCTCGAGCGGCTTCAGCGAAGGGTGTCAGGATGGGAGAACCCTTCGTAGACTGCTAGAGCAGGCCGAGAGTGGGCGCGAGGTCCTCTCCCTTCCCCTCGCCCCACGCCGAGCCTGGGAAAGTGAAGAGCCGGCGAGCGCCTGGCGTCCTGGCCGCTGACCCCCAAGATTCGGGCCCGGGGGGGCCGGGGGGTCCGGGGGCCCGGGTTTGGACCGGACGACACTACGGGCGGGGTCTGCAAGTCCGTGTTGCGGGACTCGGGGTCGGAGGGGGACACTTCAAGAAAAGCAGACGAGGAATGCGAAAAGTGGGACTTCGCCAGGCTCCGGAGAACCCGCACTCACCTCGCTAGGGGCTCGGTCCATTGAGTCCGCGCTTTTCCGGCTCCGAGTCGGGAATTCCCGCCCCCTCCCCAGACGGCCCCCTCCCCTGCGGCCGCCGCGTACCACAGAAGACAGCCAATGAGCGTGCTGGTGGGCGGATCCCAGCTGGAAGTGACGTGATCCGGGAGCAATCAGAGGCGTGGAACAGAGAGGGCGGGGTAGGCGGCGGGGATAGTTGAGCTCAGCCGAGAAGGCGACGCGGGCGAAGACCTGGACGTTGCGGGCGGGATAGACGCAGTAGTAAAGTTCCACCGGCCTAGTTGGCCGGGCGACAAAGCCTTTGAGATCCGACGAAGTAAAGAGAGCAAGAAGCCTCGTACGCGGTGTGTCCCTCTTTTACTTCTGCTGGGCCAAATTCCGGGACCCTTAGGGAACGCTAAGACCTACCGTTGCGCTCCCTGCTCGGGACTCATCGCCCACACCCACGTCATGGAAGACCAAGTAATCCCAGCTAGCACTCGAGAGCCTGAGGCAGAAGGATCGGTTCTATCCTGGGCTGTATAGTGAGTTCAAGGCCAGCCTGGATCCTATCTCGGAAAAAAAAGACAACAAAGTAATGCTTCAGATAAGGATCTAGAAATGGAGGCCAGCAGCTTCTCAGAGAAGGGGAGGATGCAGATTTGAAAAGGATGGATGTTTAGGAGAAAAAATGTATAGGAAGAGCAGGATATAAGCGAAATAGGCCATCATTTACTAATTAATAATTGATTTTTCTTTTTTTTAT